GTGACCTGCTAAATCATTCCTGTCAAATTGTAGCTTAAAGAATTTAAAAAGAAAACTGCTGGGGCCCATGGAGTATGCTACAAACCTCTCAAATATAAAGCACAGCTTTAGCTTTATGGCAAATTAATCACCCTAAAATTAGAGAGGCCACCCCTGACATCTGTAGGAGGGACTTGATTTAGACTGAAGAGTCATAGCATAACTGCTCTGCTGAATGGTGTCCTCTATGCACTCGTCTCCAGTTGATATCTTATGTTCACTGTGGTTTCTGGTCTCATCTAAAATTTTTATCTTGAACTTGTGTCCCCAGTGCTAAAATCAATGACCTCCTCTCAGGCTTCCTCCTATTTCCCAAATCTCTCTTCTGTAGATATTTTCCCTGTTTGTCTGAGTTTATCAGTCTCCTTTGCTAACTCCTTTTTCCTCCCTCCCCAAAAGGGTCTGGTTTCTCTGAGTTTCAGCTCTTGGTGGTTTTTCCTCCTCATCTTTTCATTAACTTCCCCTTCTCTCTCCACCCACAGCGTTATTACGTGTGTTCTCAAATCTTTACTTCTTATTCACTCAACAAATATTCACTGAATAAATAGTCTCTGATTCCTTTTTCTCTCTTACACCCACATTCAAACTGTCAAATTTTGTCTGCTTTCCATTCAAAAACTATCTAGAAGTCAACTCTCATTTACTGCTACAAAGTTGGTTAAAGCCACCATCATCTCTCTCCTGGATCACTGCATTAGCTGACAAGTTGGTCTTCAGGCTTTGTGTTTCATTTTCTCCACCTCCCTTGCTGAGTCTTCATCTAACCCGGCAGCTGGACACTAGGATCCTTTTTAAACCCTACTTCAGATCATGTCACTGCTCTGCTTATAATTATCCAAAGGACTCTTCAATTCATTCAGAATCTAAGACAAAGTTGTTACCAGGTTTTACACTTATCACACTATCTGTTTATCTGCTGGCCTCTGCCCTACTTGTTACCTCTCAGGCTTCATCTCCTACTATTCTTACCCACAGTCACTGAATGCCTGTCACCCTCTTGCCTTCTTATGACACTCCAGATGCGTTACAGCCTTAGTCTTTGCACTTCCTGTTTCTTCTGCCTAGACCACAATTCCCCCATACAGTATGGCCACCTCTTTCTCTCATCACTTTCAGGTCTTTGCTTAAACTATCATCTACTCAGTGAGGACTTTCCAGGACACCCTATTAAAGTTTCGGCCTACCCCCTCCTTTTTGGTCCTTTCTAGTTACCATTCCTGCTTTACTTTGTCTGTGCCACTTATTACCATTATCTTTTTCTTCACCCGAAAGTTCTTTCTTCATGTGAAAAAAAGTTTCATAAAGATAGAGATTATTGTTTTTTTTTTCTTCACTGATTTATTTGTTTCTACTAATATCTGGAACAGAAACTTAGATATAGTAGCTTGGAATGTTTTTTGAATGAACAAATGAATGAATGAATACATGCTACTATGTTCTAGTTACTTAGTATCAAACAGTGAAAAGGAATTGGATCCTGCACTCAATAAACAAATTGTCTAACAACAACAGCAAAAACCTGTCACAAATGAGAAAGGTTTGCTTAAGGAGAGCATGGAACAGGGGCACCTAACTCAGCCTGAGGTAGGGCAAGGTACTCCAGTGCCTGTACGAAGTGGCACCTGAGCCAGATCGAAGTTAGTCCAATGAAGGAGGCAAGAGAATTTTGTTATCCCTTCTTTAGATAGAGGGATAACATGAATAAAGTCATTGTGGCTGAGCCGATGCTGCTTCTTGTTTCTCCTCATATTTCTTTACCATTTCTGAGCATGCTACCCTGACTTCTTACAGTCAAGATCTGTATCATTATTGGAGGGCTGCTATGCCTTTGAACCTAGCAGGCTGGAATGCCTGGGAATTAATGAGTATACCTCAGCCCTTAAATCAATGACTGATGGGTGTTGGGGTTACATATTGCTCACTTCTTTTGCCCCTTTGCCAGGATATTTCTTAGTGGTGTATTATACACCAATTCTGTGGGATTAAGCTCCAGTCACATACTGTGGTAGATTTTAAAATGCACCCATTACTGGCTGTCTTCCTTTTCCTTTGTCACTTTAGCCTCACCTACCTTGTTTTCTTAAAACTCCCGACAAACTGCTGGTCATTGAATCTTGGCTCAGGGTTGGCCTCCAGAGAAACCCAAATGAAGATAGTGATTCCTACCTAAACTGTAGAGAATAAAAGTGACAATGAATTCGGTCTGCTTTAGGAGATAATAAAGCAAACCAAGTTGGCTGGGTATAAAGTACAGGAGAAGTGGTTTAGTTTGATATGAAGGAATTTGAATTCTGGGCTAAGGAATTTGGATTGTTCCCAAGTTTGTTATAAAATCTGTAAGTTTGGGGATGAACTAATTAAAAGGATATCTGAGTATGATTAATCTATATCTGTGGTATACAGTGGCATTATATTGGGGGCAGGGAAATTCCACAGGTAGGGTGGCCAGTTAGGACACGGTTAAAACAGCACTATTAGGGTATATTCAGGAGTGCATTAGTTAGTGAGGTGGCAGTATGAATGGAAAGGAATTGATGGAGAGAAAACGTGAAGGGAAAAAATGACAGGATTTGGAGTCTAGCTCTGTGAGTTGGCAGGTAGGGGGTGCAGGAAGAGGGAAGTAAAAAAATGTCTGAGGCCATAGGAGTTAGAGAGCAGTAGTGGTATCATTAACAGAGATGAGGAAGCTCTGAGTGGGATCTGGATTTGCTGAGTTAAAGACATGTTGCGTTTGTGCCAGTGGAATATCCAAGTAGAAGTGTTCAGCAGACATCTGGAAATATAAGAAGCCAAGAAGGATTTGGTTGCAGAATTGGGGCTTTTTCAGACTGGCTATAGAAGTGTCTGGCTGTTTTGATGATCCTAAAGAAACACTTGCTTTATACAAGCCTTACAGTTCTGATGTAGTGACTCTAACAGAAAAGTAGGAATAACACAGTATCTGCAATTACTGGCAGACCTTGCAGTTTAAACACACATAAAGGTGATGCAGAGAGGCTGTACCTGTGTACGGAGGCAAGAGAAGGCATGGGAGAGCAGAAAGCCAGGTTCTAGATATGCAAGTTCTTGAAGATACTGGAGATCGAGGGATGCAAGAAGTCAAGTTCAAAAGTTTGGTAGAGATAGGTTTTGAAATCTGAAGTTTGACACTTAGCCAAAAGACTAACCATTCCTAGCAGAGTCCTTGGACTCTGAGGATTGATGCTGTTTGCTTTCTGCCTCCTTTTATGAAGCTGGGCTTGTCACACATGGAAGGATGTTATTAAAGAATCCATCTCTTAGCTTTTTCTTCTTCAGACTAAATAAACCTTATTTCATTTTTCACACAGGTCATACTTTCCATTTCTTTAATTGTTACTCTTCCCTGAACTTTCTCCAATTTTCCTCTTCTCTTAAAAAAACTGAGACAAAACCTTTAAAACACAGTAATAACTGGCTTAGTTTGGGACACAGGAAACAATTTTTTCTAAAATGTCACATCCTAGGCAATATTTCTTTGCAGGTTTTTCACCTGTTTTTATTGCTTCCGTAGTGCTCATCTTATTGTAACATCATGGTAATTTTAGACAATATGTGATCATACGGGAACATATCTCTTCCAACTATTTTTTTTTTTTTTTGATTTCAAAGTTTCAGAGTTAAAATGAATGTTGGCTCGGATCTATTTCTTTTTTTCCATTTCATGAAGATGTTAGGCAAAAGATTCCAAAATGCTACCAGTCTGATACTCCTTCTCCTATAAGACAGCTCGTGTCATGAAATGTATGAGGCAAAATTGTCAAGCTTTCTCCTAATTTGTGCTTTTGCCCCTGCTCTTTCCAACAGATTAAATCCTGGGCCAGCTAAAATGTGAGAAAATATATATGTATTTTATATATATATATTTTATATATATATATTCCTTCTATATATATATTATATATATATAGAAGGAATTTGCTTAGACATTAGCAAAACTAGAAGCAGTGGGGGACCTGCCAAAGAACCGAGGGATCCCTCCGACTACATGTTTGGGAGTAATTTTCCATGTGGACTGGAGGAAGATCTTGTAAAGCACAGTCCCAGATTACACACTCTGGGCTCCGATTCCGCAGGATTTACAAGACTCATTATTGGAAAGAGTCTAAGGCTCTTCTGGCACAAGCGGTGGAGGAAGAAATGTTCACTGGACAATAAAACCTTTCGGTTTACAGAGTACAACAAAAACATGGCCTTTCTTTTACAGGGCGATGAATTAATGGAGGGTGATCCATTTCCACGGCTTAGAGGCTGGCGAGGTCCCTTCCAGCCAAGATTGCTGAGGATCTGCCGTCACTTCTGACTGGGGGCGGGGGGAGGCGTTGTATCCAAGTCCAGAGAAGAACAAATTATCACCCTTCGAGGCTGCTGTGGAAGCTTCTGGTGCTGAAGCAGCAGACAGGAACAGACAGGGCAGCGCCGCCCTCCAGCCAGACTCTCGGCGGCTCCTCCTCCCTCTCCCAGGCCCACTCCCACTCCCAAACCTAAGCAGACGCTTCCCTGCTGCAGCCAAAAGCGCTGCGTGAGTCTCTACACGTAGCCGCAGACAGCTCCTTAAATAGTGTCCGAGTTGAGCAAACGATCCAGACGTGGGGCCCGGGAAGGCGAGCGGAGGCGACCGCACCGGCGCACGCAGCAGCGGCGGGTCAGACGGCGGCCAATAGCCGGGGCGCGGCCCGCCCCGTCGCCTCCCCCTCGGGGAGCCTATAAGTCGCCCGCGGCGCCGGGGGCGCTTGCCGCTCCGCGCCTCCGCCGACGGTCTGACTCCAGCCGCTTCTCCGCGCCTCCGGGGCTGCCCGCCACGGCAACCGCACCTCGCGCGTTCGTTCCCGCCAGCTGTCCCCAGCCCCGGGCGGACCGGGGATTCTACGCTCTCGCGAGAAGTGCGCCGCTGCAGGGCAGTGGGGGCGCCGGAGCCGGCGCGGGCCCTCGACGGGCCGAAGATGGGGTGGTGCATGGTGATGCCCCTTTTGCTGCTCCTGGCTCTCGTCCTCCACCCCTGGAGTCCCTGCCTAGGAACGGACTCGGAGAAGCCCTCTAGCATCCCCACAGGTGAGCACCCCCGCGGCCCGCCGCTGTTCCGCGAGGCTCGGCTGCTGGGCAGTTCATTCATCCACCAGCCCTTCGCGGGGCTGGCCAGGTGTGTAGGTGGGGGCCGCTCCCTCCCCTCCCAGAATGGCTGAGGTCTTCCCCAGAGTTTCGGTCGGGCGGTGCTGGTCCAAGGGGAAGCGTGGGGGCACCCGCCCTCGAGGGCTCTTGGAGTTCTCCGTGTTCTGCGCGCGCCCGAAATTCCCTTCAGAACAAGTTGGGATTTCCTTTTGGTCTTGCAGGTCACTGGGCACCACCAACACCTTTCCTGCAACTTTTCCATTCTTTTTCTTTGTGGGAGTTGGCATGGATTTGTCCGTGATGGTCGAGGCAGTACTCCCTCTGTGACCTAAACACGGGGCTCAGTGTACTTTTTGATTAATGGTGACACATTCCTTCCAGCACCCCAGGAAGCAGCCGGTAACACTTACCTCTTGCCAAAACCAACGCTCAAAAACCTTAGTTGTTTTCAGTAAGGCTGCCTGGCTACCTAATATCTCCAGGCGGTTGCTTTCCTCCTTTGGGATTTGGAGGGGAAGCTGTGGACACGCAGCTTCTCCCCTTAGTTATCCGTTTCTTAAGCTTGGTGCTGTTTCTTGTTTTCAGAAGCTGGAACTGCAACGAATAGTCTAGTCAAGTTCATGTAAAACAAAACTTTTTACATTTAGCCAGATTAAAGAGAGTCTCCCCACGTTTGTCTAAGCAGGCTTTGCTACCATTTGACACACATGAGAAATCCTTGGAGATTTCCACTTTTGTGTTCAACTCTCTGAAACTGGATCTTGCATTTAAATAACCTTTCCTGATGTATCTTTTTTTGTTTTTTTTTTTTTTTTTTTTAGTTAAGATCATTTGGGTAACTTCCCCTTCCCCCCCTTGGTAAGTTAATAGGATGTTTTTCTGCTTGAATTTAACTTAAGCCTAAAAACAGAAATTCCTTCCCCCCCTTGGTAAGTTTTCTGCTTGAATTTAACTTAAGCCTAAAAACAGAAATTCCTATTTCAGGGTTATATTCAGAAGGTTGACATTTGGTGTAGAGTACAGATAATCCATATAGCAATGGTTTTGTCTTCATTTTTAAGTGTCTCAGGAAACTTCAACGGGCTACACTGCCCATCTTTCTACATTCTTGCCAAACAGAACAGTGCTTGCTTTGTTTGCTTGAGGAACTTCAGCATTAGATGGATTTCTGTGTTACAGGATGCTTTTCTTTATGGCAGGTATTTGTGATGATTTAAAGACAAATTTCTGAACCTGTGTGATTCCTCTAAATTTGAACTAAACTTTTTCATAATTTTCAAGTATTTCTTTTAGTGTAATATTTAGAAAATAGACAAGGAAATGCCTTCAGCAGACTTGGAAATGGAGACATTAAAAAAAAAAACAAAACAAACAACAAATCTTCCCCAGAAAAATGTCTTTCTTTGTTGAAACACCCAAAGATAATTTTATTGGGAAATAAAATAACCTCTAAGGGGTTTGTTACATTTAGAGGGGCCTTTTTGGCCTTTGTATATTTTATTCAACTTCATTTCCAACACACCTTACTTTTCATAGAAGCCATCCCTTTTGTAGAGGCCTTTAAGTTTATAGTCAAAATTGACTTCCTTTCTCACTCTGGCTTTTAAATTTCATAGAACTGGATGGTAAACTTTTAAATGATTGTAACATCAGAGAAAGGGAATTTCAGATATGAATGTTTTCCTCAGAAAAAGAACACATAAAATTCACTGTTGAAATCTGAGGATTTTCACTTTTGATAGGTGGGCATGGAGAATTCAGTTATGGCCTAAATGTGGGAAAATACTAATTTGTAATAGGGGGAGCCAGCAGCAGCCAGTTTGATTACAAACTTCTGTGTAGGTAGATGTTCTTATAGGTTATGCAGTAAGCTAATAGATGTTGAAGGTACACTGCTTGATAATGTGGCCAGAATCATGGACTTTGGTCTCTTTTATCCCTTAAATATTACAACTGAAAATTACTAAATGGAAATGTATTAATCTATATAAATATCAAGCTCTTTTTAAGGAGTCTATGTTCTCATTTAATAGGAGGTCTTTAAGAAGAGTGTTTATCATCTCTAACCCCTTATGTTTGACATTATGTCTCAGCTAGCAAGGAAGAAAGGGATTAGATCAGAATTTTTTGGCCCTATTGACATTTTGAGCCAGATACTTCTTTGCTGTAGGGGGCTATCCTGTGCCTTGTAGGATGTTTAGCAGTATCCTTGGCCTCTGTGCACTAGATGCCAGTAATACTCTCTTGCATATATAAGAACAAAAAATGGCCAAATATCCTCAGAGGGACAAAATTGCCCAGGGTTGAGAATCACTGGATTAGACAAATCTATGTGTATCTGAGACAATGTGGCATTATGGTGTTACTGGAATGATAATAGCATATCTTTCTTGAAAAGAAACATTTATAGTGATTTTCCTTTATTCCTCTGTAGTAGAGAATGTGCTGTTTGAATCACATTCATCAATTTTTGGAATATAGTTTTTCTTAGCTTTGGTGCTTTGTTGAACAGATTTGAAAAAAATGCTTTTTTGTTACATTTACTGAGAGTTCTATGTTCTGCGTTGATTCCTTTTTGGTTGCCACTTTATTCTTAGCATGAAAAGAATCTAAGTAAGATTTTGGTTAAAAATAACCATTTTCTCATGGAATCATTTATGGAAATGGTACCTGAAAGTTATATCCTCATGGGAGCTTTCGCAGGTAGAATCCTACTAATCAGTGTCAATAAATCATGTTCATACCCTGATTTATCTTTCCTGTACTTTCTACATTCTAGATGGGAGAAGGAGGGGGATGTATTCCAGCCAAGTCTTTGCAATCAAGTCTGCAGATCTGGACTAAAACTTGTGTGTTTTCTGAGGCACCTTGACTATTCTGTGATATAAATTGGGGAGAAACCAAGTTTTGGGCAAAAGCAAAGGAAATGTTCCAGATGTTTCTGTCAAGACTGGTATTTTTCAACCATGTTCATTTATAAACTCTTTAATTTACTGTGGTACATTCAAGGAAGCAAGGAAAGGTTTGTCCCTATCTACTGATGTAAACTAGCAATTTATGGGGCAGAGAGGGAAAGAGCAAGGTCCTGGAGAAACCGCTGGAAGGAAGAGAGGGGGCTTGTCCTCTGTGCACTTTCTGTGCTCTGGGCTCCCACAGGGAACGATGTATTATCCTTAAACAGACCATGACTTTTATTTCATACAGCGAAAAGAGACATATGAAACAACTCCTGAGAATGTGAGGCTAAGAAATCAAAATTAAATTGAGCTACCCCTTTCTATCCATCATACAGAAGAAAGTATTTTAAAAATAAACTGTAATCGTAGCAAATGTGAAGACGGGAACTCAAACTGTTGTCGGAAGCACAATGTCTTTAAAAACAATTTAGTAATGTCTAGAAGAATTGAGAATTTATGTTTTATTATACAATCCTAGATATGTACATGAATAGTGCTCTCAAATTTCCGTGTTTTCCTGTTTTTCTTTTTAAATCCTATTCATTGTTTAAATCTAACTGCTAAGAAATTCTTCCCTTTACTATCTTTTGTTTGGTTCTTTTTCTTTTTAACTTCTTAATATAGTTGGTTTATATAAGTCATACCCGCTTTGTATTATAGGTGTTTATGTTTAATAAATTATGAATTATTTAAAGCGAAAAACTGAGTTTTATTCGTTTTTATGCTCTTCATTGTCTACCCTGTTCTTTTGCCACAAAGAGATTCTCAGTTTTTGTTTGTTGAGTTTTTGGCCTACTCTGAGAATTATGAAAAATAGCATGCAGTCAATGAGAGTGCTTATTGCTCTGTTTCCCAAGATTTTAGCTAAATCCGCTGAAGCTTCATTTCTCTAATTGGGGACCCATACACTACCTTGACCTAACAACTTACGAAACATCAAGCAAGACCTTGTTTCTGAACTGCAGTTGGCAACTCTTCTCCACAGATTATATTTCCACCTCTACCTGCCTTACTCAGTATAAAGTGGCACCTTCACTATTACTTTCAGGTCGCTGGGTACCATAAACCTTATAAAAATATGTGATGAAATGAAGATTTGTACATAACCTACAGAAGCTCACATGGCTGGAATGCAGTAGGAGAGGGGCTTCTGCCCTTTCTTCGGGCTGTTTCCTTGTCTTTCCTGACCTGGTAATTATTCTTTTGGACTTTTGGGAGCTATGGGAAGGAAACAGAGACTGGGTATCAGTGACTTAGAGAAGCAAAAGAAATGCTTTGCTAAAGGGGGAAGCACATAATTTGTAGGTTTATGTAAATGGAGGGGAAAGGAATAGGAGCAGGCCGAAGGAAAACTGGGTCCTAGGCCAGCGTGGCAAACTATGGCCCGTGGATGAAATGCAGCAGGGCAGAAACGGTTACCTGTTTTTGTACGACCTGTGATCTAGCAATGACTTTTACATTTTTGAATGGTTGAAAACTATCAAAAGAGAAATATGTGACATGAAAACTATACGAAATTAAAGTTATACTGACTTAATAGCCACATTTTGTTTACGTATTGTCTGTGGCTTGCTACAAGGCAGAGAGATAAGTGGTTGCTACAGAGACTATAAGGCCAGTGAAGGTCTAAAATAGTTACTGTCTGGCTCTGTACAGAAAATCTTTGCCTTAGGAGATGACACTCTCATTTAAGCTGTGGCTCATGCAGATCTGCTGCTTTGTTGGAAAGAGCTGGATTCTGGACAGTAGCAGCTGGCTCTGGGCATTTCAGAGACCTGTTTTTCATTTTGGACTTTGCCAGTGATTCCAATGGTGTTTTTAATTCAGACATAGAACTTCTCTGTTACATCTTTTTACACATGGCATTTGAAGCTAACTAGACATGTTTTTTCGGTGTAAATAGTGTTCTCGTGTTCAAAAATGAATAAAACACTCTGAGGGCTAGTTGGAAAGGAGATGCATATTTCATCTTCAGAGCCTGAGTGT